CCCTGGCACTGACAAGACACCTTCCCTGATGCGTGAAAGGGGAACAGTGAGGTCCTGTGAGCACCTGCATAGGAACCAACCGTTAGAAAAGAACTTTGAGGGACTTCCCTGGGGGTCCAGTGGCTAAGACTCCATGCTCCCAATGCAAGGGGCCTGGTTTTGATCCCTGGTGAAGGGAACTAGATCTCACATGCTGCAACAAAGATCAAAGATCCTGCCTGATGCAACTAAGACCTGGTGAGGCCAAATGAATGAATATTAAAAAAAAAAAAAAAGGCAACGCCAAAATAAGTGAGTATTTTTAAAAAAGACCCTTGAAAGCAGTGGGCAAACTTGTAACTTTGATTAACCTGGGGAGCTTTCAAAATACCAATTCCAGGCCATACCCCGCCCTCTGAAATTCTATTATTATTACTATGAAGTGGGGCCTGGACATCTGTATTTCCACAAAGCTCCTAAGGTGATTCTGATGTACTGCCTGGATTGAGAGTCACTGATCTGAGGCCCCCGACCCAAGACCAAATGGATCAAATAATTCTGATGGACACTCAAGTTGATGAACCCCTGACCTATGATATTCTTTATGAAATTCTCCTAATGGACACCCCTTCTATACACATAGCTCTTCCCAGGGTTACAGGTGGACAAAGAGAATTGATTCCTTTTCACAAATGAGGAAGGTGAGAGACAGAGAGAGGAAATGTCTGCTGAGGTCACAGTGAGTCAGCAACAGCAATGGGCCTAGCACCTAGTGGATGCCTAGCACCCCTGGACTCAAAGCATTTTTGCAGAAGTCATGGATTTGACATCTGGGTGACCCAGAGAAGTGCTCACACACTTGGTACCTCCCACTAGTTTGTGACAGTGAGTTCTCCTTGGCTGCCTGTATCTGAGCAGGCAATTCTCATTTCAGAGTTGGAAGATCCAGTTTAGGGAACTTGGGCTTCTCAAACTCCACTAAGTTCCAAGATCACCCCTGAAAGGTTATTTAAAGTGCCATCTCTAGGTCCCTAGCCCCCAGAGAGGCTGATATCTTAGGTCCATGGTGGGATCTAGAAATCTGCCCCAAGTCCTGGACTAGGTTCCATTGGCACTGGGGTAGCTTTCAACAGAATTGGTGAATCAGGAAACCCACAGAGTCAAATCCATTCATTCGCTAAATAAATACTGATTGACTAGTATGAAGCTGATTCAATGCTATTCCTACAACATTAGCAACAAGACCAGAGACGTCAGGATGGGAGAGGAAATTAAGGAGAGAGGCACGGGATAATTAAGTAGCAAAGTCATTCGTCCTATTCTGTGAGAGCTTCCCCCTGTATATCCACATTTCACTCATCTTTTGAAGTTCAGCAAAGGTCTCATTTCCCTCAGGTGAGCTCTGGAGACATTCATTACCTGAGTTTGAACTCCAGCTATGCCACGTAGTAGCTGATGGCTTAGACCACTGTAAGCCTCAGTTTCCTCATTTGTAAAACAGCAGTACCAATCTCACAGGGTTCTGATGAGGAATGCATTTAAGAACACTTAGTACCATGCTTGTACACATTAATCTGAAATATTAGCAATTAGTGTTATTATTTCCTGACCATCTTGGCCTGCTCTGATTTCTCCTTCCTCTGAACTTTTAGCTTTCCTTACAGTATCAGAATGGAAGATCCCTTAGTGATCATCTATCTGATTCCTTCCCGTTAAGAAAGGGGAAGCTGAGGACCAGAGAGGTGATGGAATTTGCCCAAGGCCACACGCAGAGCCAGGACTCAAACTCAAGTCTTTCTGATGCCCAGTCCCAGGGCTTCTTCTTCCTTAATGTCTATCCCTTGACCCAAATAGAGAAGGCAATTTCAGGACATCTACGGCTGGAAGAAGGAAGATGGGGAAGAGATAGTGAGAGGAGCTGATTGCTTTCAGCATTTCAGCAGAGAAAGCCAAGAGCTAATCTTCCCACAGGGTGTGCAAACCAAGTGTTCAAATTGGAGATTCCAGCTCAGGTGGGTCTAGCTCCTTGAGCCTTGTTAGCTCTTTAAGTTCCCTCCAATCAGTCCTGGGTGGGCGAATTCATAGAGGATCTATGATTTTTGTGGCCTCGGGAGAGGACATCCCATGTATCGAGGGAGTTTCAGAATCCAAGAATCAGGGCTGGATTACACAATCTCCTGAAGAGGAATCTGAAACTCCGTTTCCTTGATGAAGGGACATTTTTTAAGTTCCCAGAAGGCTCTGGCTGACTCAGGGGGCTTATGCCGGGCTGCTAGCAGGCTTCATAAAGGGGGCCAGGAGGGAGATCTCTCTCCCTGATGCTGAGTCCTGCCATCATCCCAAATGCCTGTTCCTGAGCTGTTGGGGACATAAGGGAGGCCTTGCCATCTGGTATCAGAGGGGAAAGATGGAGCATCTGCTAGCGAGGGTGTGAGAAGTTATATTTTTATTCCCCAAAGAGAAAAGAGTTCATGTTCAAAGAAGCGTATTATCCTTTGTGACTGGCCTAGCTCAAGGACTGGTGTCATTCATTCTGTAGAACTTTGTGTGAGGTTTGTCAGTGTAGCTGCTTGCCACCTGTGGCTATTGAAATACTTAAAATGTGGCTTGTGCAAGTGGGGGCCTGAGTGTGGTGTGGGAAAGAGCCCTGGATTAGGAGTCAGGAAGTCCCTCAATTTACTCACATGGAAATTCACTTCCCCCATCTGTTCTTTACTTCCACATCTGTAAAGTGAGGCTGTTGGGCAGGAGTTCTCTCTGGCATTCCCTGGGCAGTCCCAATCTGAAGGGCACAGAGCAGTAGAGGATCAGAGTCAGTGGACTCTCCACCCCATCACCCCCTGTCCCCCCATCTCCCAGTGCCCTGCCCCTTGATATCCAGGCCTGTGTGTTTCTCCAGACCCACCTCTATGACATCCCCCTTGCATGCTTCAGACTCCATGGTTTCAACAGTGGTTTACTCCACTGACAGTGAACAATTTTCATTTCCCTGAATGTACTCTCTTTCTTCTCTTTGCATATTCTGTTCCCTTTGCTGAGAACACCCTTCCTTATACTCTTGCTTGGCTACTTCTAAGTCTCAGCCAAGGTGTCCCTTCCTTTGAGAAGACCTCCCAGATCCCAAATCCTGACCAGATGCTCCCTTGTCCAGGCTCCTGTAGCTCCCTGTATTTCTCCTGTCAACATACATCTCTACCACACTTGACTGTAATTACCTATTAATTTGCCTACAGCCCCCAGAGCAATGCTATCCAATAGAACTTTGTATGATGATGGAAAAGTTCTATACGTGTGCAGTCTAAGGTGGGAGCCACATATGGCTACTGAGCACCTGCAATGTGGCTGATGCTACATTGTAGGAACTGAATTATTAATTTTACTAATTTCTACTAATTTATATTTAAACAGCCATGCATGATTAATGGCGACTGTACTGGACAGGGCAGCCCAGAGTCTGTGAGCTCTGAGTGGGCAGGAAGTGGGTCTAACTTGTTCGTTCCTATGTCTTCAGTGGTCTAGAATGTTGTGTAAGAATGAAGAAACTCCAGAACTGGGAGAAAGGTCAGTTCATCCAGACCGTCCCCAAATATCCCCCCACTCAAGCATCTTTACAGTAGATAATGAGCTGAGACATTCTGTTTGTAAAGTTCAGTTCAGTTCAGTCGCTCAGTTGTGTCCAATTCTTTGAGACCCCATGGACTGCAGCACACCAGGCTTCCCTGTTCATCACCAACTCCTGGAGCTTACTCAAAATCATGGCCATCGAGTCAGTGATGCCATCCAACCATCTCATCCTCTGTCATCCCCTTCTCCTCCTGCCTTCAATCTTTCCCAGCATCAGGGTCTTTTCCAATGAGTCAGTTTTTCACATCACGTGGCCAAAGTATTGGAGCTTCAGCTTCAGCATCAGTCCTTCCAGTGAATATTCAGGACTGGTTTCCTTTAGGATTGACTGGTTGGATCTCCTTGTAGTCCAAGAGACTCTCAAGAGTCTTCTCCAACACCACAGTTCAAAAGCATCAATTCTTCGGTGCTCAGCTTTCTTTATAGTCCAACTCTCACATCCATACATGACTACTGGAAAAACTATAGCCTTGACTAGACAGACCTTTGTTGGCAAAGTAATGTCTCTGCTTTTTAATATGCTGTCTAGGTTGGTCATAGTTTTTCTTCCAAGGAGCAAGTATCTTTTAATTTCATGGCTGCAGTCACCATCTGCAGTGATTTGGGAGCCCCCCAAAATAAAGTCTGTCACTGTTTCCATTGTTTCTCCATCTATCTGCCATGAAGTGATGGGACCGGATGCCATGATCTTAGTTTTCTGCATGTTGAGTTTTAAGCCAACTTTTTCACTCTCCTCTTTCACTTTCATCAAGAGGCTCTTTAGTTCTTCTTCGCTTTCTGCCATAAGGGTGGTGTTTGTAAAGACATTACAAAGAATGTCTGTAAACTCTCATTTTAATTACCATCGCAGGAGGCTGGCAAAGCAGGACTCATTATCCTGTTTTACAGCAGGGGAATCACTGAGGCTCAGGATGGGGAAGTAAGTCTCAAGATTGAGTGCAGAGCTGGGCTGCTCATCAGTGGGTAGATCTCTGAGGCCCCATTTAGCATCCCAGTGAGATCCGGCCCAGAGGGAAGGAGTGGGCTTTTCCCTTCCCTGTGGAGAAGTCACAGAAACTAAGTGGAAACAGATGGGATGATGGGAGGTGGGGGGTGGGTAGGAGGATGTGGAATGGGTGTCTGGTGATTTCCTCAGGACCCTGGGCACTGGAATCCCCCATTTTAGGCAAAGGAAGAGACCAAGGTCCTTGGGAGAACCCAGGGGTGGGGCAAGGAGGACCGGCCGGGTGGCCTCTGCCCCCGTGTCTGTTCCTGGCCCAGCCACAGAATCACCAGCCTTCTGGCGCTCCCCCAGAGCCCCCTCCCTGCCCTGGAATTCACAGCAAGTGACAGCCAGTCTGGGAAGTGACAGGTGGGGAATTGACAAAGAAGGGCCCTGTGCTCTGCCAGGGGGCGGGATGGGGCCTCGGCTGAGTTTGTGGGGCTGCCTGCGCCTCCATCTCGGGGAATTCCCCTCCTGCCTAAAAGTCAGCCCTGCCCAGCTCTTCTTCCTGCAGAAGCACAGTGAGCCGAGGCGCCTTCTCAGGCGGCAGCCCCCGCTGCATAGACCCCGTCATCTTCTCCTGCCCTTCCCCAGGTGAGTGAGCTGCCCAGGGTGGTAAGCCAGGACCGGCCAAGGCTCACCGCATAAGACTATGGGGCCACAGACCCTCTGGCTCTGGGCCACGAGCCACCTGGCCCCCAGTTTTCCTGCCAGCTAGTGTCTGTGGCTGCCCTGGCCCAGCTCCCTCGCCCACCCCCCAGGGCCTGGGCTCTGCACCTCTGTCCCCAGCCCGCCCTCATTCTCTTCTTGCTGCTCTCCCTCCATTTCTTATTTCCTCTTCCTGCCCTCCTCTCCTTGCCTCCTCAGCCTGTTGTTTTCTCTCTGGTCACCAGCAGTTTTTCCAAAGGGAAGGAAAAGAAAGATCTGCTTTTGTCTTATCCTTTTCCCAAGAGAAGGGAGCAGGTTTGTAAGTGTGAAGGCAGGTGTGCGTGTGTGTGTGTGTGTGTGTGCACGCATGCTTGAGCAGGGGTGAGAATGTGTATCTATGTTCATGAGCGCGTGTCAGATTTCCCAAGATGCTTATGTGGATGACCGTGTGAGGCAGCGCGTGTGAGCATGTTTATGTATTTGTGTGAGCATGTCTCTGAGTGTCTCGGTCATTATGTGATTGTGTGTCAGTGAGTTTTTGAGGGTATGTGGGCGTGTGTGAGGCACTTCAGTGATCTACACCTAGACAGGAAGAGACCAGGTGGGAGTCTGCCCTGCCTCCCTTGGGAACACGGTGGCAGGGTGCTGCCCTCCTTAACAGGGGGCAAAAGGGCCTGCAGAGCGCTCCCCGACAGGCTCTCCTCCAGGGCAGCTGGCCCTTCCATGGTTGAGCGGGTAACAGAGAGAGCCCAAGGCGCTAGGAGTGGGTGACGCTGGCAGACAGCAGTGAGGCGGCCTCCTCTTTGATCACAGACAGTCCAGATTTTCCAGAGCCAGTCAGAGGCCAGCCCAGGGAAGTCCCTGGCTAGGAGGGGTAAGGAGCGGAGGCCAAGTCACCGTCACAGTGGCTTCTGGGCTGGAGAAGCATGAAGGGAGAAGTGGGAGTGGCCCAGAAGAGGGTGCATAGCAGAGGCCTTGGGGTGAGGCTGAAGGAGGATTGTTCTCAGGGCCCTGTCAGGGCGTCCCAGGATTAGGAAATGCTCTGGGTCCCTCAGGTCTGCTTCCTTCAGGGGCTGGGAGGAGCCTGGCTGACCTTTTCCCACTTCCAGGAGGATGACAAGGGGCAAGCTTGGCTCCAAACCCAGATCCACTTGACATTCTGAGCTGCAGATATAGGAGGCCAGAGGGAGAGCGGCTGGAGGAAGGGAGGCCTGGGGCGCCTAGGAACTGTAGGAGGGGCCTGGGTTGGCCACGTCTGCTACAGGCCATGGCTGGGAATTCCCCCGTGTCACTTTGCCCTTGCCTCTCCTCCAGCAGTGCCCCAGAAAACCTAGAGTAAAAGGCAGGCCCAGGGATGCAGTGGAAACAGCTGGAACGAAAAAGAAAAAAGAAAAATAGGAAAGACACTGGAGGAACAGTCAGGAGAAATGCCTTCTAAGGCCTGATGTTTATGAGAAAATTTCGTGAGGTCTACGGCAAGTTCCTCCACAGCTCTGGGCTCTGAGGTCCTCACTGGAAGGAGATGAACGATCCCTGCCTGCCCTGTGGACTGGGTCATGATTATCATTGTCACCTCTCACTGATGTCAGGCTCCATAGTGTTCCATTCTTTCTACTCCGTGCACTGTTCTAACCCTCCTGTTATTGATGAGGACCCTGGGGGAGAGTCCTCATGAGGTGTAAGTGCCAGGTCTGTCTGACTCCAGCACCCACCTTCTCACCCTTGCGTGACATGCCTCTTGAAAGTGGGGCAAACTGTGACTATGAAATGGGTTAACTCATCTTAAAGTGCTGAATATATGTGAAAAGTTATGGCTTTCTTAGTACGGTCGTATCCATCCTCTTGTGTGGTTATTTGGGAAATAAATAGAATTAAAAACACCTTTTCAGACTGACGGTGGGAAGCAGGGACCATAGACTCTGCTCACTGATTTAGTCTTTACTCCCAAATATGATCACCTCGTAAGACTACAGCTGACACCATGCGCTTGGCATGCATTTCTCACTTATCACTGAAATCTCCCTCTCATACGCACACACCCAACACCAAAAAGCACCTAGAATCTATCACAGGGTTTTCCATTCCTGAGATTGCCCCCAGGCTATGGAGACGTGGGACTGGATCTAAGGAGGTACCCGGACCCGGGAATGATCTTTTCTTAGCTCATTGGTTGCTCATCACTCCTATCCAAGGCTCTGACTCACTAATTAACCTGCAGGAGTGAGGAAGGTGCTGTTTGCTTTAGAAGCTCTGTTGCCATCACTGAGGTGTGGAAATAGCATCTCTCTGGCAGCAGGAGACTTAAGTACTATTCCAAACTTGCTGTAGGATTTCTGACAAGTCCCTGGCCCATGCTGTGGTTTCATCCCTATAGAAAAGGGCCCTTTCTCAGGACCCTTTAAGGACCAGCATGTTGAGTTCTGTGCCCTGCAAGCTGGCAAAACTCTACAGCCTAATGCTCAAGAGTGTTAAAGAGTTTAAGAGCCAGGATCTTCATGTTCTAGTGACTTGCAGCAGTGGGAGCTACCGAACACCTCAGAGCCCCAGTTTCATCTGTGAAGTGGGGGCTATAATGGTTCTGACCTCAGAGGCTGGTTGGGAGATACATTATGTGAAAGTGCAGACCTAGCACACAGAAAATATTCCATTGATGTTACCTCCTCATGTCTTTAATACACAGCCTTCACTCCTCTTTAGGCACTTGATTTAGAGCTTAACCACTTACAGGTTGAGAGTTTTTGGTATTATTTTATTTCTCTCAAACATGGATTTAGGTGTGACTTTGGAGCAGCCTTGGTGGAGGTGGTAGAAGGGGGCTGGCAGTAGAAAGGAGACTGGGTAACTGCATGCCTTAAAACAAAACAAAATGAAACCACACACAGGTCTTTTGATTCTCCTCCCAGGTGGGGATTTGCATAGGTGCCTGTCCTCACTCTGGAAGAGCAAGAGGTTCCCAGTGGCCTGAGTCACTCAGTTCTCAGTGTCAGACTCAGCTTCCCAGTTTGGCAAGTTCCTTTCAGGTCTGGAATGAGCAGAGGGTGCCAATCTAGGGGGGCTGTCTCCCACCCTGCTGAGCCCCCAGAGTTGAGGGTCCCCTAGAGTTTGTGGATAGTGGGATGGAACCTAGGGAGGCTGCATTCCTGGGTTTAACACTAAAGTTCTACTCAATGCATGTGATTCACATCTATAAACCACTATCTTTTCTTGAATGCCTACTGTGTGCCAAGCTCTGGGCTTGACTTACATGATCTCATTTATCATGATTACCTAAGGGTAGGTAATCATATCTCCACTTTTTAGAGAGGAACAGAGGCTTAGAGAGGCAACCCAGGAAATCAGTGTTTAAGTGGTTAGAAGCCCATTAGTTAGGTCCATAGCCTGTGATCATCATGAATGTTGAGTTTCTGTAAGAATGTAAGAAAAATTAGGACACATAATGCAGTGGAAAGAGTATTTATGACTTGGAGCCAAGGTCCTGGGTTCCAACCCTGGTTCTATTACTCAATGTGTGTGGCCTTAAGTAAATCCTTACTACATCAGTCTCCAAACTCTTTGGCACCAAGAACGGGATTCATGGAAAACACTTTTTCCATGGACTGGGGTGGAAGGGATGGTTTTGGAATGATTCAAGAGTGTTACATTTGTTTCTATTATTATTACATCAGCTCTACCTCAGATCATTAGGCATTAGATTCTGAAGGTTTGGGACCCCTGCTTTTATTACATTGAAGACTCAGTTTACTGATCTGCCAAATAGGGGATTGTGATCAATATTCCTATGGCCTTTAGCATGGTGGAATGTTTGAAAGTCAAACAGACTGGAAAGGGCGAAAGCAGTGAGTGGAGTCATCACTTGGAAGAGATGACTCTTCTTATACATTGTAAATGCTAAGAAAAATAATCCGAAAGGAGGGAATCGGGCAAAAAGATAACTATGTGACCTTTTTATGCCATTCTAGACCACTGTCTAACAAGCCCACCTCTAGGAGTCATTCTGCACTTTGTGGAATGAAACAATTCACCTAACTCTCTAAGGTCAGACATTTAGAAAAACAGCTGAAGTAGTTTGGAAACAAGACTCAAATAATTGGAGACTCTTCATTTTTTAAAGTAAATTTCAGGGTTCATGAGAAGACTTGGGTTGGGCATTCTAGGAAAAGGCAAATTGGGAATTACAGACAAGAGCAGAACAAAAACTAGACTGGGGGACCCTAATGGGTGAGGGGATGCCTGAGAGCTGCAGTATGAATCAGTCCAAGATTGTAATCTCCTGGTACCCTTCTGAATTGGTTTCACTCACTGGTGCTTTGTTTGGGGTTCACATCCCTCTCTCCCTCCCTCTCTTCAATTTATTTTCACAATTAAGATGAACTAGAATTAATATTGTTTTGAGAGTTTGATAACCCCTTTGAAGTAACTAAAAGCATCATAGGATGTCATAAAGCCTGAGAGTACTTGGGTAGGGGTGTGTGTGTGTGTGTTTTCACTTACAGTCACAGTTAATTTACAGAGCTTTCCTGTAAAATGAGGGCCTATATGGAATAGGTCCCCAGATCCTTTCTGAGGATGGGGGCCTGTCAATCACTAAATTTTCCATAGTTCCAGTGAAATGAATCTTTTAGAATAAGTTTTTCATAAAGCCATATTACCTCAATTTAAAGAGCTGTTCTGTATTCCTGTTATAAAGCTGTTCTTTATCCAAGCTATTCTTTATTACAAGGCCTTTCCACTTCTTTTTTAAATGTAATTTTACTTAAAAAGATTTTTTTTTTTTGGCCAATCAGTGTGTGAGATCTCAATTTCCCTACCAGGGATGGAATCTGTGCCCCCTGCAATGGAAGCTCTGAATCTTAACCATTGGACTGCCAGGGAAGTCCAGGCCCTTCCACTTTATGAAGTTAAAATTTACCCTCTTTTAAATAAAATGATGGGCTTAAAAATACAAGTGTTCCCAATCTTCACCATGTTACTGCTCCGGCCAGGTCTGGGGACTCACAGCCTGTTTGCATGATCTGACCTAGGTAAAGGTAGACGGTAGGAGGTGGGCTCCGGATTTGCCCACTTGGGTTTGAATTTTGGTTCAGCCACTTACTGAGGTCTTCTAATCTCCCTGTCCCTTGTATTTTAATTTATGGCTTAAAATAAAAGTGGGGGTGGGGGTGGGGATAGAAAACCATCTCACTAGGGTGGCTGAGCAAATTAAATACAGGTTACCAAATCTGAAGCAGTAAGGCACAAAAAACGTCAGCTGTGACAGTAAGATTCTTTAAGGGTACTTTCAGCTCAGAATTTCCGTGAGCTCTTGTAAGAAGTCTTGGGACCGAACTCTGGGACCTGGAGCTCTAGCTTTGGCTCAGCTACAAATGCTTACTGCTTTTTGGCAAATCCCCTCCCCGCGCTCCAGTCCGCGTGCCCCTCGGCCCAAGGAAGGGGTGGGTGATCTCTGCGGCTCGTCTCTGCTCTGAAATTCCGCCTTTCGGGGTGGTCCCTTTCTGGCGCCCGGAGTTTCCGCAGCTGGGAGTGCCGCGAGGGGTGGCCCGGAGGCTACTTAGGGGCCGGCCAGCGGGACGGGACTCTGACGGCCAATCTGCAGACTCTCTCCGGCCCCCTGACCTCCGGTGGCTGCTGTTTACTTCGCTGGGTCCCACCCCGGCGGCTGCTGGCCAGCCCAGACGGCGCCTCGTGATTGGGCAAGCGGCCTGTCAATCGCTGGGGACTTTCCCAGGGGTGGGGCGGCCCGGCCCCCAGCACTTCCTAGTCCCTGGCCAGGTCCCCCAGCCCGGAGCTGGGATCCTGCTGAGTGCTGTGAGGCCAGATCCTGGCGCGGGCCTCTATCCTGTCCCTGGACTCGGACTGGACGCGGAGAACGGGGCGCTGTCTCCCAGGGCCCCCACCCTCAGGTAAGCCGGCTGGGCGGAGCGGGGATGGAACGGAAGGGAACCCGAGACTGGGCCGTTCCGAGTCTCGGCAGTGACCGGGCGTGGCGCGGGGAGGTCAGGCCCGGCCTGGTGGCCTGGCTTTTTGGCTCAAGGGCTAGCCTTGAGGCACGCGGCGCCTCCGAGGGTGGCGAGGTCCGGCTGAGTGGGGAATCCCTGACCCGCGCGGAGGGTGGTGGGCGCGCGTGCGCACTGAGTGGGCGAGCGCGTCTGGAACCAGCGTGCAGTGGATGTGCAAGGCGTGCAGACCGGCGGGGTGGGTGTGTGTGTGCGGGCGTGGATCTGTTTACAGTATGGGAGACCAGTTTTGGAAGCAGTGTGCACACTGTAATGAAGAGGGAAATAGCTTGTTGGGCGCTTTCCAAGTGCTGATCTTAACTCGTTACATGTATTAAACTCACTTGTCACTGTCACCCTCAAAACGAATTTGATTATTATTATACGTATTTTACAGTTTAGGAAACTGAGGCATTTGGAGTCATATAGTTAGAGAGTTGCACAGTTAGGATTTGAACTCTAGCGTTTAATTCCAGATTTCGTTCTGTACTTACTGTTCCTGTTGAAAATATTTTGCCCTCTGTTGGAGGCAACATTTGGGTGCATTTGCAGGGCAGCTGTAGTGAGTTTGGGGGAGCGATTTTGGGTGTGGAGTTTCTACACGTGTGTGTTTTCCACTGTAGAATATTTATCTGCAGGAGAGTGCAAGGTTGTGTGTACATGAAAGTGATTGTATTGTACATTCATTAATTGTATGGGAATTTTGTGGGTGGGAATTTTGTGTGACGGGGGAGACTGTTTTAGTTGGGGGGGGGACTTTTGTGTGTGATGCAGAAGAATCAGCAATGTTTATCCCCACCCCCTTGCAGAATGACAGTGCAGAGAAATCTGTGGATTCCTAATGCATCATTTTTATTTCACAGTATTGTCAAAATGTAATTTAATCAGCTCTTACTCATTTTCCAAACAATGTGGTATGGTAAAGGGGAATTCAGCACCTGATGAGAGATCCGGAAAGAGGACTGTCTTTTTTTTTTCATTCCTAACAATGGATACTGCATTAGGAGGCTGGAATATTTATTAGCTCAGGCTCCTAGCAATCCTATGATGTATTAACATCCTTGTTTTACAGCAGAGAGAACTGAAGTAGTGAAAAACCAATAAGGGTAATGGTAACACCTTAACGTTTATCAGCACTTACTGTGTGCCAGTCACAGTGCTTTATGTTTAGTATCTCTTTTAAACTTTCAACAACCCTAGGAGAGAGTCATGATTAGTAGCCTCAATTTTCAGATGAGGAAATGGAGTCCCCAGAAGGTTAAGACTTGCCCAAGACTAGTAAGCCTTGAACCCTGAGCACTATTTCCTTTCCACTATCCTGGCTGTGTCCTGGAAAAATAATGTGATCAGGGCCTGGCACTTCATGGAAGCACCTGATCATGTCCCTCTGGAGGCAGCAGCCCTGAGTGTCCTGTGTTCTACATACTTAGGTGAATCTGATGCCCCATGGGCATCCGTGGGCTTGGCATGGCACTCCTGCTGAGGGTTGCTGCCTGCCCCTATTCCCACACCAGGGCCTTTGGGGCCCCAGGAAGCCATGGGGTCTGACTCATACCCTTACCCCCCAGTCCTGCCTGTGACTTGGGCCCCGGATGTCCTGGGTTGGGTTGGCCGACCTGATTTGAACACCGAATTGTAAGAGGTTGGCTACTGGCCTCCCTCTCTGGGTTCTCCTGGGTTCTGTTTTACTCTCACACTCACTGTGATTTAACCACAGCAGCCTGCTTTTTCCCCTGTTCAAGATGGCAAGTTTATTCTTGCTTGAGGCCTTTGTGGATATTGTTGCTTCTGCCTGGAACACCTTTCCCCAGCTCTTTCCACCCTGGTTCTTCCTTATCTGTCAAGTCTCGGCTCAAATGTCACCTCCTCAGAGGGGCCTTCCCTGACCTTTCTATGCAAAGTAACTCATTTTTTCACTTTCTGTCATATTACTATTATATATATTTTTAATACACTCATCATGCCTTGAAATGACCGTGCTTATTTGCAAATGAGAACGTGTGTGTAGAGACACTGTATGTGTCTGGGAAACAGTAATTTTTAGTGTTTGCTTGTTTGTTGTCTTTCTCTTTTCTTGGAGTGGAAGGGTGGGAGCAACGACCTCTTTAGTCTTCACATGTACATTCCTGTCACTAGATAAGAGTGTCTGGGGTAAGACTGCTGGGTTTGTTCAAAGGATGAGTAGAGTAGAAGAAACTAGAATAATGGTGCATTTCACAGATAAGAAAATTGATACCTAGAGATGGGAAGGCCCTTGTCCCAGAGAATTAGTGGCAGAGTTGGGGTGAGAGCCAGAAGTTGCTTCCCAAGACATTATTTTTTCCTCCGGATAGTCAGCAAACAGCTCCTGACAGTCTGGCGTGGTGCTGTGTGGAGTGGCATGGTGCTCATGGTTCTCCATCCTCCAGGAACATGTTGTGGACTGGGCAGAAATGTGCCCTAAGTGCTAGCTGGAAGGCGCAGTGTCCCAGCAGTTGCCTGGCACTGAGTCTGAGTGGGGTGTGATGCAGTTTGGGGGGTGCCAGGTGATCAGGGGGCTTCTGTAGGGCAGTGACTTCAAGGCCATGCCCAACCAAGGTGATGAGGTACAGAGCTCCTTCTGGAACTTAGGAAACTGGGCAGAGGATTTGGGGTAAGGCTCTCCTGGGTTGGGGGAGCTGACCAGCTGGGCTAGGAAAAACCCTAAAGTCTTGACTGCCAGGCAGAGAAGTGTCAGTTTTTCCCCGCTCTGTCGGCAGCACTGGGAAGTGATCAGAGCAGTTGGTTGGTAAACCTGAGCATGCATCAGAATCCCCTGGGTGGCTTGTTAGACAGACTGCAGGGCCGCATCCCCAGAGCGGCTCAGCCAGCTGGTGGCAGCGATGCTGGGGCTGCCAGACCAGCTGCTCTTTGAGAACCCACGATGTGGCGTGCCTGATTTAGAGTTAGCACACCTGGACGGGGGCTGCGCCTGCTTCCTCATCTGTAAGATTCTGTGATGTAAGTGCTGCCTCCAGAGGGGTGCACATGAATGAGACAGTGCCTGTCAAGCACTCAGCGCAGGGCTGGCATGGGGCTGGCACAGTGTAAGTGATCCGTCGCTGCCAGCTGCTGAACATCAGTCTTACTAACAGTGCTGATCTTGAGGATGTTGAAGGGATTTCAGGAGGAGGTGATGAGGAAGGTCAGGTGTTCCAGGCTTCAGCATAACTTGCCCTTCATCCTCTGCCACCTCTGGACCGTGCTCTGTCCTCTCTGGATGGATCGTCCTTTGTGGTATCTCAGACGTCCTTCCTTCCCTCTTTGGAACAGTGGAAGTATATACGTGGGAGGCTGCGGAGGACATCTGGCCCAAATTTCCTCAACAGCACCCAGCACCCCACAGGTGATGAGCCAGCCTCCCCTGGTCCCCACCACAGCGTCAGGGAGTGCTCTGTGGGTGGCCCCTTCCAGTGCTGTTACAGGTGGCTCGCTGCGGTGGGCCCACCTCCTCTCTTGCCCCCTTTTTTTCCCCTCTGCTCATGGCTCACTTGAGCCCTTGGAGGGAGGGAGGAAGGAAGAAGAGGGGGTACAGTAGGAGGTATGGTAAAAAGAGTGGACAGCTGGCCAACAGAGGATCCAGGTTTCCTCGCCTCTCTGTCTCCACTGTCCCTGCAGCCTTGGGCGAGTCTCCCTCCCTTGGCCGGCTTTGGTGTCCCAGCTGGAGAATGAGGGAATTGCACTGACAGATGTCTCAAGGCCGTCTCTTTCAGAAAACTGTAGCCCAGTGACTGGGCTGCCTTCTCTGGCCCCGGCGGTTTCGGAGTTCTGCTGGGCCAGGCCTTTCTCTGCCCCCACCTCCTGGCTTCTTGCTGCTGCCCCTCCTTTATCCTACTCCTCTTTGGAGAGTGTCAGCAGCTCCATGAAGCGTTGCCAGAAGGAAGGTACAGCCACCACGGCCTGGCCACTGGCAGGAAGTTTTTATTTGCGCCCGCCCTGTGACCAGCCCAGGAGTCAGTCACTCTTCTGATAGGAACGGATGACTGGGCTGAGGAGCGGTGGCTCTTCGTCCAGGGGCCGTCCCCAGGCAGCGCTGAGCTCTTGTCTCCCCAGGGACCTCACCCTGGGGCTGTTCCTTCTGTCCTTGAGCACCTGCTGGTGGACAGGCCGGTGGCCCAGGCAGGGGTGTGTGTGGGCGGTGGGGGCAGTCGGGGAAGGCTGGGGATGCTACGGGAGTCATGTCACCAAGGCGTCCTACTCAGCGGTCAGAGCTGGTATTTTTAGGGCGGGCGTGGGGGTGTCCCATGAGTCAGGGGCCCTTGGTTTGGTCTCCACCCACAGTGGAGGAGGCTTACACCACTCTCGGCTGGTTGGCAGACCATGATCCTGGTCAGCTTCATCTCTGTGGTCTGAGAAACTCTGGTCTTGCCACAGCCCCACTTCTGCCTCTGAGATGCAGCACCCCCCGCACCCCGATCCCAATCTCTGGGAAGAGGAACAGGAGTCTAAGGATGGCAGCTTTGACTTTTAGAAAATGCAAAGGAATCTTTAGACACAGAGGGTAACATGCAGACACTTGGGAGAGCCACCATTCAGCTTAAGAAATAACCTATTTTCTGTTCAGTTGAAATTTCTCCCTGATCATCTCCTTCCCCACTCTTCCAGAAGTAACAAGGGTTCTAAATTTAGAGTTTATTCTCTTGTATTTCTCTACAGTTTTATGGATATTATAAAT